CTAACACAACATTGTAAAGCAACTATACTCCCATAAAATTTTTTTTAAAAAGAAAAAGAAAAAGAAACAGGCTGTGCAAAACACTAGGGTCCTTTTCCCAGTTACCCAGGAGAACTATGATACCATCAGCTGGGGGCAAGGGTCTGAGCAGTCAGCTTCTGACTATGGGGCTCACCCTCCCCCAGCCCAGAGTAATATATCACAGCAAAAATCTGGGGGCATAACCCTGAAGGGGAAACTGGACCCAGAGGAAGCAGAAGGGACTGCCACAGCAGGAAGAAAAAGGCCCATTCCAAACAGGAAATCAAATAGGGTGGAAAGAGGTCGTGCTCCAGCCCGGCAGAGGCATGCTGTGTCCACCTTCGCCAGGGGTATGAAGACTTATCAGAAGGCCATTGTCGACCTTAAAAGTAGTTCCTCTTTTAGACAGCAATTTGGCAGTATCTTTTTTTAACGCTCACTCTCTTTCAGCTACTTTATGCTGCTAAGATGGTACCCTACAGGTACAAGCTCACTGTAACTTACAAAGCAGCAAGTTTACTCCAAAATATTACATAAAATAATTCTTGCTAAAGCATTTTATGTAAAAGAAAAAAACTGGTAACATTAATGTTCATCAAGAGAGGACTAGTTAAATAAATTGTAGTTCATTACAGTTCATCCCTATGATGCAGCAGACAAAAAGAGTAAGATGTAGCCATACACAAGGGTCTGCCAAGAACTCCAAGATATTGCACTAAGTTAAAAAAAAAATTTTTTTTAAGTATAATGAGTACAGAAGGCTTCTATTTGTGTAAGTTAAAAAGCGTAATATATACATATTTTGTAGGGATACCCAAGAGAGTGCCCTGCTCCCTTAAGAGGGGCTGGGAGAAGATCAGCTGAGCATTTTACACCTTATGTCCTGTTTGAAACTTTTATCACGGATACAAGTTGCTTTTATTGAATACATTCTCTAAAGTTTTAAAATAATCGTATAGAAATATGTCTGCTTACACGGAGTTGTTCAGAATATACTGCTAAGATTTTTTTTAGGCTGGAAAACATACACGTGGAATGAAAAAGACTGGGAAAGCTATACACCAGGGCGCTGCCCATGACTCCATCTGGGTAGGATTGTGGTGCTTTTCCTGCTCTTTCTGCCTGTCGGCTGCTTCTGTAATAATCACAGGTGGTTTTGTATTAAGATAGCAATAACAATAGCAATAATAATAAAAACAGAAAAAGAAAGCTCATCTTAGAGAAGGAAGAGGAACAGAATTGAGGCACAGCTTGGGGCTATGGACAACTGAAGGCAGAGGCCAGCTGGCCAGAGACTAGGGAAGAGGGGGAGGCAGGACATACCCAGCTGTGTATCTGCATACAGAGAAACCACAATCAGAAGCTCTGGAAATGGTCCTCCTCCCCCAAAGTGCACGCAGTCTGCAGCAGGGGCAGTGGTGGTGACCTGAGGAGTCCCATCTCTCCACCAGGTCCCAGCTCTGAGGCTCTCTTACTACAGACGGCGTGAGTGGCAGGGAGGCTCCAGAGCACGGCCCTGGGTGGCACCTACTTCGCAGGGGGCTCTCCTCCCTGTCCCCCTGACCCCGAAACCATCCTGGAAACAAGGCAGGATGAACTACTCCCATCAGAGAGAGAAGAAAACAGGCCTAGGGCCACTCAGCTCCAAAGTGTTGGCTGGTGTGACCCCTGGTTCTGATCTGGAGGGTCTCCTCGTAGTCTGTGGGCTAAAATACCTCCTAACTCGAGGCATAGGGCCAGGGAAGCCTGTGACCGCAGGGGCTGACACTGCCCCTTGTGTGTGACTCTGGCCGGTACCCACACCCCCACAGTTAAGATGGGACGAGGTGGCTGCTCTGTCTCAGCAGGCAGCAATGGCAGAGCCGCCAGGTTCCATCTCAAGTCAATAGGTGCAAGATCAAAGACACAAAGCAGGCCCACAGCAGTGGGTGGGTGCGAGGGAGTGAGCACAGATAATCATGTTTTACTTCCTTCTCTAAGCACTGCACCGTGTGAAGTCTTACCTTCACACTGCTTCTTCTGTCCTCTCCTCATGGTCTCACCAACCTCTGAGTTAACACTACCTTAAAAATACGATTTTCGGGCTTCCCTGGTGGCGCAGTGGTTGAGAGTCCGCCTATGGATGCAGGGGACGTGGGTTTGTGCCCCGGTCCGGGAAGATCCCACATGCCGCAGAGCGGCTGGGCCCGTGAGCCATGGCCGCTGAGCCTGCGCGTCTGGAGCCTGTGCTCCGCAACGGGAGAGGCCACAGCAGTGAGAGGCCTGCGTACCGCAAAAAAAAAGAAACAAATACGATTTTCATTTTCCCTGCTGCGCACAGCTGACGGCTGCAAAGAAAACTATCCAGGAGCTGGTCCCAGGCTCCACAGAAGGCCTGAACGACAGGCAGAAGGCTCTCAGCCCTAAGTCACGCTGACCGAGACAGGGAAAGGAGGAGGACTCACGCGTGCAGTGAGGGGGCTGCCTCCACGTGCTCCTGGGAGGCAGCCTCCCAAGGGGGAAGAGAAGATATCCACGTCTCACTTCTCCACCCCAAGATGACTAAACACCCCACATCTAGCAGAGACAGCTGGCCGTCTGTCTACACTGCTTGGTTGTTGGGATTTGGTAACTGCATGGCACAGACTTCGAGGCTCACACTTCCGATGGAAAATGCCAGCTCTAGCCACCAACACTCCACAGTTACTGATTCACGGAGCCACCCTACGTCCAAACTGGGCCTGGAAGCCACAGAATGTAGCAGTTAAAAACATGGCTCTGGAGTAAACACTGTCTGGGTTTGAATCCTGTCTCTGTCTTTTCCAAATGACCTCAACAAATTACTTCACCCCTCTGTGCCTTAGTTTCCTCAGATGTTGTATGCATTAAATGCTCATAAAATGCTTAGCCTAGGATGTGACCCAAAGTAGAGCTCAGTAAACGCTAGCTAAAAGTAATTCACCAGGACACTGCCTACACACACCCACAATGCTGCAGAACCCAATCACCATGCCCAGATCAGGACCCAGGAGCACCAAGACCACGATATGTTTCCAACTGCATCCTCCCCACTCTCCCACAGGTGAGTCTCACCATCAGACAGTGAAAAGAGCAAAGGGAGAAAACACAGATTTTGAAAGTAGGGGAGAGCCAAGCCAGAAGAACCTGGGAGCCTTCGTTAAAGGTGGGGTTCGGTAACGGCCCAAACCTCAGACGACCTTGTAAGCCAAGTACAAAAGGATGTGATACCTGCTGTGTGCATGCAAGCACGTGCACTCTATAGAAGGAGAGGGCTGGGGAGGGGAGACCAGGAAGAGAGACAGAGACCTTCTGGCGTCTAAGCACTCTCCCTCTGCCACTGCACCAGCAGATGTCCACACGCTGACCTGGGCCTTGGCCAAGCTCTCAGCTCCTGCTGAAGCAAAGTCTGAACACGTCCCTCAAGAAAGTGGCTGGACTAAAGAGGGCTCCCTGAGAACAGAAAGGAAGTGGGGTACCACGCTGGGAAAGGCAGACACAGGAGGGACAGCAGAGAAACAGGAGAGTCAAGGATTAGGGCCAGGAAGAGGCAGAGGAATTCAGAATTGGGGTGACTGGGGAATGTCCTTCACAAAAATCATCATCACTGACATCATCCTAACAACTGGTCCCGTTTGTGTCCTCAGAAACAGACCTCAGGAAGAAATGAGAGTCTGTGTAGGCTCCTGGGGTCTGGGGCTTGATGAGAACAAAAAAGGATGCTGAAAAACAGAAGAAATGCTTGTTGACTTGTGGATCAAGGGGCTAACACAGCACAGGGAGCTGGCAGGTGGGCAGCCAGCAGGTCCTCAGTTAACTTCCAGACATTAGCTGGACATGAGACACAGAACAGACAGCAGCTATGCAGGCATTTGTTTGGGCAGGGGGAAGAATGAGAGGTTTTACTGCAAGGGAAGGAGGTGGCCGTGACTGAATCTATTGATTCATATGACCAGATCTGTTTCCTAGGTCACTCATGACCTTTGTCCTCAAGTTGAAATAAGTACCAATGAAGACTTCCTTCCAGCTAAACATGGTGGGCTGAACATTCATGTTCATCACTACTCCCTCCGAAAACCCCATTGAAATAGCAAGATGACAAGCTCTAGCAGGGAGAATGTCGCCAAGAAAAATAAAATGGACTCAACAGATTATCTGATATACTGAGAAGACTGTTCAGTTTATCTGTCTTACAAGAGTTAGCCGTTGTGGCAGTCACTGTGTAAAAGAAAAAGCATTTTATTAACTGCCTTACTGAATAAAAAGTTTTCTGATAAAAAACTAATTATAACTTATCTCAGCTGCAGAAATGATGTTAGAAGAATAAAGAGAGGGGAACAGTGTATGTATATGAGGGGGACGTCTATGAAAGCACAATCATTCTCCTGTGAGAAGTCAACAGATAACATCTAAAACTAGTAAATCCAAAAATAGTGGTACAAACATTTTATTTAGGTAAATAGAGGTAAATATCAGACAAAGCAGCTTTTAACTAAATCAGCACACGTATTTTAATTCTTTTAGAATTGCAGGTGAGTGGCTCTAGAGAGCAAGACTTCATGTGGAAAAGCAGAGCAGGAGACTCTTATTTATCATTATAAGCCTTGCAATAGTATTTGACTTTTCCAAATCGTGGTCATAGAACACATTGATCAAAATAGAAATTTTCCTAAATGACAAAGATTTATTTCAAGACCTCGGCCAAATTACTCTTGCCCCACGAAGTCTTCTCAGATGTCCTTCCTCTTCTCTTGTGAAAATCACTGTCTGCACCATTCATCCGACAATTAATCACATTCCACTTGGCAATGAGCTGAACTCTTCTATTGTTAATTATCTTTCCACCTGTGTCTTGTCTCCCTGACTAAATTATAACTTGTTCATAGCAGAGGGCACTTCTCATCATCTTTGAGGAGTCCACCACAAACCAGGTTATTAAATCCACAGGCTCAGAGAGGTACAGCCACCCCGCTCCCCATTACCTGCATAAGCGTTGGCCTGCTGCAGGAGGTCGGTACAGGTGTGCACGTCTGCAAACGCGCGGATACCCAGGCAATTGGTGGGATGCAACTGAGATTGCAGGAAGTCACAGCAGTTCTGGCGAACATCCATGAGCTGCAGCAAGCTGGCTGCTGGGAGCAGCACCTAGAAGAGAAGGTGACATTCTGACTTGCAGAATCCCACCGCCAGGGTCTCATCTCCCCAAAGCAGTGTTCTAATCAGACCACACCCAAGCTCAAGGTCTTTGCACGGCTCTCCACTACCTGCCCAAGTAAGTCCAAACTTCTCGGCCTAGACTTTTTTTTTTTTTTTTTTTTGGGGTA